GAGGAATCCATATCTCATTCTCTCCTCTAGCTATTTATTACGAGATAATAAATGTTTAAATCTGCCTCTTAATACCCCCATCTCTGGGGTGGGAGGGGGTGGTGGGTGAAGTGAATTGAATGTGGTCTTCTTCCTGTAGTAGCATCACTCTCACTCAGTTCTCCTTTTTACATTAGGACTTTTCATTTTACAAAAAATGTATTCCTCAAAAGAGACTGTTTGAACTTTGCTCTTGCCTAGTACAATACTCATTATAATCTGGACATGATTGGCAAATGCCCTTGAAAGCAGGAGGTGGAATGGAGTAGAGTGGAAAAATGCTAATTCAGATTAGCCAAGGAAAAGTGTCAAGTGGCAGCGCGTCTGTGAGGAAGTAACTTTTTATTCATGCCTATACTTCGCAAATAATGCTTGTTCACAGATGTTATTACAAATGTTTTCAGTGTTTTCACTTCACTAAATAAATATTGCATTGTAAATTGTATTAGCGTGACATTTTAACATAGTGACAGTTATTTTTCCACATCCTTCTCCATGTGATCTAGTGTGAAATGGATAATACTTACTGATCAGTTAGATGAGGGCAGTTTAACTTCAGGGTGACAGCTTTATTCAGCTTGTGATATTCCTTAGCTCAGTGGTTTCACTGACAGTTCCTCTTGCCAGAAGGAAGAAGCTTACTCTAAGATTTATGTCCTCTTTTCATGTGGGCAAAGCGGTAGTGTCCCAGTCTCTAATTAACCGCTAGTTCGTGGGCAGAAGAGGATGTGTGGCTGTTGGAAACATACAGTATCTGAGCAGTTGTTCAAAGACTCCTCCAACAAGTAGGTAGCAAGTAGGCTGGAGGCATAACACAGCTAGGGTCCTGCCTCTAGAACAGTTCTGAGCTGGAATGTGTCTCATACCTTAAGGGAGAATCACACTAGTGTTTCTTTTAAGCTCAAAAGCTAGAGGAGCTTATTTACAAGGTTTATCCAAGGAGATGGACAATTTTAAAATATTAATGTATCTGTAATCATCACTAGCTGCAATCCTAGCAAAGACGGAAATCTTTGTTCTTGCAAGATCTTTTTCAGCATCTTCAAGTGCAAGCTGTATCTGTAATTGCACACACATTTTACATCTGCAAGAAGAAATTTAGCAGAAGGTGAGAGGGACTCTGAAGAGATCCACAGTGGGAAGATTCAGATCCACCAGGCTATTCATAACTTGGAAGTCTTGGCTAGAAGTTTGAAATGAATGTTGTGGAAAAGGTAGCAAAAGTTGTAAAAAAGCCATGAGTGGTGTGGTCTCAGGCCATCCACAGCTGCCTTGAGGCCTGCAAGAGTGTTTAGCACCTGTCAGTCAGCAGATGCAGTTATTAGAAAAATGTGAGATATTCTTCTGTCTTCATCCTCCAGAACGGTGTTTGTCAGTCTGTCTGGTCAGTTACATCTCACTCCTCAGGTTTTGAGGTAGTATTATTTGCTAAGTTAATAAGAATCAAGGTTATAGAAGACACAGTGTAATACTTATGTTTGAGAGGGTTCTTAGTCTGTTTGGATGAGATGCATGAATCCTGGTTCTGAAGTCTGCCTTTGAAGACACTGGAGGGAAAAAAGAATATGTTAGAGCAATTCTTTTCATCTTAAGGTATACCTACTAAACTGCTGCCTATTAGACCTGCCCGTATATCGCTTGGGTGGAAATTGACTATAGTTAAGGCTTGGCGAGATTCCACCTTACGCCTCGTAACCCAGAGCATCTAATGTAAGCCTTAATGATAAAGTGAATGTAAGTGATATTTACTATTCACAGAAATTATGGGCTGTTTCAGCGCTTGTAATTTCCCAAACAGCAATCCACCAGAAGGATGAGTGCCAACGTGCTGTGTAGGCACACTTCTCTCTTACTGAGGATTAAGGGCCTGGGGTTAAAAAGGAAAGGCAAACACAGGCTGCTGTTAGTTTTGTTTCTATATATTATGCATGCTATTATATAGTTAGCACACTTTTTACTAATGCAACATGCATCAGCTTCTTTTGTCATCTAGAATACGGTGAAGTTACAGAAATAAATGGAATGAATGAATAAGTCAATATGTCAGCTAAACCTAAATGTGCTCAGCTTAGATATCTTACTATGCTTAAGGCACAAAAATCACTCTTCTGTGCACGGCTGCAGACAGAATTTGTGGTATGTTTTAATGTGCTGTGTGATGGCGTTATAGTTTCTGCAGCTTCTCTGTTCAATTTGTCAGTCTTCGTTTGCTCATTCAGACAGAGGCTTGTGTAAACATTGTGTGTATTGCTTCAAGAGGCATACCATGCACATGAATTCTATCGTATTTCATTATTTTACTGATTAAAATAACTTTTTACTCTTTGATATTCCTGTTAACCATGTAGAGCCAAGATACCAAAGAAAGTGTGGGCTGTGTTCTTTCTTGCTCATCATTTGAATCATTTGCTGAATTAAACAAATGCAAACTTATCTGGGGAGGAGAGCACCATGAAAAGTCTCATTGCCCATATTCAGCTGCTAGTGAAGGAAATAATGCTGGTAATAATTTGAATTCTTGAACTTCAGGTTGGGTTTGCTGGGCTAGCAGTTGCACCAAAGAAAAGGTACTTATTTTAATGGGCGTTGGTGTAACTCAGCACAACCTGGCTGTGAATAAATTTTGTCTGTAATCAAGCTCAGAGTGAAAGGAAAATAGGAGAGGTGCACCTATTACACCCTCAGCAGCAACTACTTGAGCATGTTGCCTTTCGTTCTGTGGAAGAAGACATGCAAGTTGTCCATGAGCATAATTTTAACTCCTGTATTTCAGAAACCAGTTTCTTGTACAGAGTGTTGATGTTTACGGCAGCCTAACCTCTTCAATATGCCATTGGGCCTTTTCAGCATTTTAGCTTTTTCCCTTTGGATTAGAATTTGTTAGTCAAAAATATTTATTGGATATGCTTCTTGTGGTTCTAGTGGGTGTTTTCATTGTTCTTTATGCCATGCCAATTACTGGATTCTTAAAAGAAATACAGACTTAAGTTTTGTTGACTGCATATTAGCTTCTGCCTCAAGATTCAGGGAACGCTGAGCCAGCATCTTCAGAGAGGAGTGTAAACTGACATGCTAACATGAGTGTATACACATAAGACACTGATTTCCAAATTTGTTTGGAAAGAAAGCAGTAATACACATTTTTCCCAAGTATTGAAAACCCTTTGTCTCACAAATACGTGGAAAACCCCAGGACTTTGACTCTCAATTGCTTATTTGTGGACTGTACTTTTAGGAAAGGGTGCATTCATTTTGTGGAATTAATCCTACATTTCAATGTTAGCTGCAAAGTGTAACCATATACATAGTGAAACAAGGAGCTAAGGTGACTTGCATGTAACTGAAAGGCTTCTGTGTTATTCTTCATGATGCTCTTGGCAAAAGCTTCACTTGGGAAAACCAGCAAATTATTTGAATGCCAGAGTTTTAGTGAACAATAGGGAAATTGCGTTTGCTTAGTACATTGCATATGCCGTTCAGTTTTTGGACTTGTGTCTAATATTATGTAAGGCAGAGATTGGCAGCTTCTCAGGATGGGGGTGCCAGATTGTATTTTTCTCTCACAAATTAGAGGTTAAGAGCGCTGGTTGAAAACATTCAAACATGCTGTCAGGCAGTGTTTGGAAATGGCTGGCTGTCAGCAGGCAGGATGCCACCAGGCAGGCAGGAGATGGCATGGGGCTGGTGTGAAGGACAGGGCTCTCTGTCCCAGCACTACCAGAGATGGGAGTGCTCTCAGCACACCAAGGCTCCCAGTGCTCCTGCCTGTGCCAGCAATGCCAGTGTTGTGTGCCTCTGGAAACCTACACACTTCTTTGCCATGTATGGTTGAGAACTGTGGGCCCAGTAAGAAACTCTGTCTCATGCATCTAAAATTGTAATTGCTGTTAGTGAGAAGTTTGCCATAGTGTGAAGTTTGCCATAAATGTCTTATGTGGCGTTGGCTTAACATGGCTCTGCAGAGATGCTCTTGTAACAGATACTTTGGAAACTGGTTGGTCACTGTGAAACCAGAGCTAATCAATTGACTAGTAAAGTCCTCCTCTACCCTGAACTCTTCTGAAACAGGGATGAGAATGAGCAGGTACTTGATGCAAATTTTGAAGAATTGAAACCCCTGAGCATATGCCAAAAGATGGTCTTTGTGATGTGGCATATTATAATGTCTGTATTGGTTTTGCAGGCTGTATTAATCAAGAAGTGACACAGGGTAACTTGGGATAGTAACCTTGAGGCTTACTTTAGATTCTAATCATTGACAAAGATTAGATTCTAGCTGTTTTATGTGCTTGGGAGTACTAATTATCAGGAAACCTGGAGCCATGTCTGAACAGCAAGCAGTACTTGTATTTTTCAAGCCTAGTGCAAGTGTGCATGAGTTCGCCTCTTACTTTGGGGTATCATTCATACAAACCCACTGGTGGTGTGTCTAGTGTAATGTTTCAAGACTGTGCCTGTCAGTAGTTGTATCAGAAAGTGTAGTAGGTTCAGAAAGCAGCAGTCTGATCACAGGCAGCTGCCTCTTGATTTTAGGACAAGGCTTATTGTTAAATCGAAAGTTTTCAAGTACAGCTATCACATGGGACAGCTACTGTGTAGATATTCCCGGAGTACCACCTCTGCAACATGTCAGCATGTGAGCTATGTCTTTCATTGTTATTTTATATTAATGGTCATAAGACAGCTAGGTCAGTTTTCTCATTTGGAAAATATAAGTGGTTTCTACATAGAAAACTTAGAATGAAAATATCTAAATTATTTCTATCCCTTCGTATTTCTCATAATTTGTTAGTGATTTTGGTCACTGCATAATAAAAAAATGTATCATCATTTTTTTCCTTAAAAAAAAAAAAAGGCATATAAATGTGTGCCTACTTGGAATTTGGTAACGTACTAATAGTAAAAATATTTAACAGTATAATTTCTAATACATAATTTAATGGTATTTCATGTTTTCCCAGGAGCTGTGATCATCTCCACTCCACAAGACGTGGCTCTATTGGATGCACGCAAAGGAGCTGAAATGTTTAGAAAAGTTCATGTGCCTGTAAGTCCCTATATTAAATATATTAGTAGATTGTATCCCCAAAATGTTAAAAAAAGGTAATAATAAAATTAATCCACATACTGCATTAGGTCAACAAGCCATTCCAAGAATCAGATTAATTTAATAAATTCTTGTTTGAAAAATAGGGATTAGAATACATGTTATATCTGTATCAGGAACTTGTTTTAACAGAAAGGAAAGAATGTCCTCAGGTCAAGGTCATAGTAGTACTCAATTTAAGTCAGTTTGTTTAATCACCTGGAATGGATCAGGCTGCTGAACAGAGTATCTTACCAAACGCTGTGTGTTTTCAAATTATACTGTCTTACTATATCCTCATTATGTGTTCTCTTCAGCACTGTATGTGTTGGAGGTTAAAATCTAAAATTTCTTGAAATGTGGAAAAAAAATCTTAGATTAGTATATTTTAGGAAAGAAATGTAAGTTTTCGGAAGATATACATATACCTAATTGTTACTTTGCCATTTGAAGGGCTCTGTGACTATCATGACAAGTAGAAATCTGTCTATATCACTTTCTTTTCATGAGCCTTATAGCTTATGCGGTAGCTTTCTTGTTTGGGAAATGCAAAATTTAAAAATATCTACAGTACTGATATGGATTAGGAGAAAATACTAAGTGGGGTGACATCTTTGACTTGGTATTTTCTATGTATGCTACAAGTTGCTAAGTAACTGTATGTTATACTCTGGAGTATGCTCATGAAGACATGCAGTTTTCATTTGAAATGTGTAGTTGATGAGAAAATACAAGCTGAAATATGCTTCAGTATCTTAAACAATAAATAAAGCCATGTAATACTTCTTTCTTACCTCTATGAAGGTTACTTCTACTCTTTATCAAGAGGAAATTTCTTCCGTAGCTAATGCTTTGTTAATTTAAAAAATGCAGCAGAAATCTTGAAGTGGCTGTTCCTGGGTTGTGGTTTTGTTTTTTTGTGGGTTTTGTTTGTTTGTTTGTTTTGTTGTTGTTGTTTTGTATTGGTTTTGGGGTTGTTTTGGTTTTTTTTTTATTTTATTTTATTTTTTCCTTTTGTTTTTTTTTCCTTTCTTAGTTTACAGAATAGCTTAACAAAAGAAGTGCATTGGTAAATTCCTTATTGTTTAACTATTCTTTAAGCATATTTGCACCAAAATGAAACTACAGTAGCACTCACCATTTGCTACTAGAAAAAAACAAATATATATAACAAAAGAAAAACATAAAGTGTTTCATTTTGATTTTATGTTTGGGTTTGCTAAAATCATGCCAAATTTTAGCATACTAACCTGAACAGAAATAAAACTGTCTTCAGGTTAGTATTTTGCTAGATTTTCCTTTTTATTTAATGAGACATCACCAAGATTTCTTTCTAAGTCTGTTTTGTTCAGTGTTCTTAGAAGGGAATGGCCTCTCTGAATATTATGCATTCTAGGATACACTTGGTTGTTATTAATGACTAACGGTGGCTAAGAAATTAAACATGATGTATGTTGATTTGCTGGAATTTTCAGATCTTTTTAAATGAAATGAAAACCATAGCGAAGTTGTTGTGACAGATGCTGAGTGCACTTCAGCCAGTCATCAGGTCTTACCTTTTCCATGATGCTGCTTCGTTTTAACCTTATATGTACATCAGTACAGATGTATCATTTACTCCAGTATAAAGCAGCTCCTGCCTACATTTCTAAGTGTCAACAAAATCTGAGGATCTAAAAGAAATTCAGTTAAGTCATTTTTGATGGACAGCTTCAAACCTGAGGTTTACATCAAAGAGGTGGAATCTGTGGGACTGTGCTAAAAGTGCATATTCTGATTATATAATTGACTGATCTTTAAAATCTTTAATCTTTAAAAAGTGCTTGCAAAGAGTCTACTTTTCAAAGAATCAGGAAGTCTCTAGGTTGCTGAGTTTTGAGTGTTTGAATATGCGTACTTATATTTAATGAACGGGAGTCTCTTCCTTGTACGTACAGGTATACATACACCATCTTCCTCTCACCCTTGAGTCTCAAATGATGTGTAGTATTATCACAGTAAAGTCATAATTGTTAACATTACTTGTCCTTTACTGCACTGAAATTAGAGTAGAATGACTGAAGGAACTAATGAAAAGCTGGCAATGAGGGTCAGTGTTAGAACCAGGACTACAATGCAAGAGTCTTATTTTCAGTCTTAGGATATAGTCATTAAAAGAGGAGTGCCATTTCTTGTGCAGTGGAGCACACCTGGTAAGGAAGGAGTTTGCAAAGTGATGCTGACTTCTGTCGAAACAAGTTTCAGGATTCTTTCCCGTTATGTGATTTTGCCCATCATTTTTATGCATCCCAGAGACTTGCTCTAGGCAGGTGACAAAAAAAGTGAATAACTTTGAGTATTTAGGAAGAAGTTTCCTACTTTCACCTACTGAAATTGAGTTCAGTTCAGTATGATTTATCTTATCAATTATATTCTGGAAAGAAAAAGATGGGGGTATAGTTAAATCTGTAACTTTTCTGGTAGTTTCCTGGAACTGGAAGGTGATGTTGTGGATTTCACAGGTTTCAAAAAACCTACTTATGTAAACTAAGCTATGTATTTCCTTCTCAGATGTACTAAAATTGGTTATTTGTCTGTGTATTTTCGGGTATTTCTGTAGCATCCTGAGTACCCAACCAAGATTATGGCTTCATACTGGGAGCGGATGTTAGAGCCAAAAGTTGCTCGTTATAAGATGAAAGGCAGGAAGACATAAATACTACTGTGCATCTTTACTTGAAGTACTAAAATATCAAGTGTCTGACTGATGATTAGATAGGAAGTTGATGTGGTACTGTAACTCTGATCACTTCAGCCCGTGTCAAGTTGGAGTCAGACCTCAGTGCCATCCGTCCTCAAGTACAGTGAATGACTTTTGTGGGTTTCTCAGGAATTGTCTCCTTGAGTAAAGACAGAGGGCATTGATTTTCTCACTGTATTTTCTGTAACTGAAAAGGTAGTCTCTTTGGATCTTGGCATGATTTGTTGTAACCAGAAGTTTAGTTGAGCATAAGAAATAGGTAAATGTTTATAAACTGTGTGTGCAGATTATTTATTATGAAAGGCTTCTTCTTCTCCTGTAGTTTCTTAATAGATGTCTCTTCACCATTTAAAATAATGATTTGACTAAATGAAATTCAGTTCCATGGATTATAACTATCCTCTACTCTGCTTCCATAGTTTAGCTCCTGTTTGGGGTGCATCTCATCATACTAGTTTTCATGTCATTACTGAGCCAAGTTTGCTGAGAGACGTACAGGGAAAGGAACTCACTATGGACTAGAATAGGATTCACACGTTCTTGTGGTATAGTTTATGTAGACATGAACAGCTGCTTTGAAGCTATTCCAGATTGGTTATTTGAGCAGGGAAATGAGAGTTATTACTGACTTTATTAGCAAGACCTATTACTTTGTCTGTAGATTTAAAAGCTCCGGAGATCCTAGTGAGATCCCTTCCGTGAATATATCTGCAGAAATGTGTGTTAAAAATACGCTTCAGCACTAAAGTTGGGTAGGGAGCTCTTTTTACCTGCCCTGCACCTTGTACCCTCGGCCATGTAGTATTTCATGTCCTTAGTTTAAGAACTGCATGAGAAAATTGCTCGTAATATCCTACTGAACAGAAATATGTTCCTCTTGCTCCTCTGGTAGTCCCAGAGAGTGGAAAATGGGAAAAGTTGTTGTATTAAATTGAAAGTAGCTAATCTTTATTGTTGTTACTGTTTCTTAAGATGTTCCTTGCTTTAAACCCTCTAAAAGTTTTACATAAGTAAAGGAAGACCTCTTACATATGCACATTATGGTGGTATACAAAAAACCACACGATCGTATTTTGATCATTTTTAGCTTGTATCTAAGGAAATTTTTATTAAGATATTAAAAATAACATACTTTTTTATTTTTGGGTTTGCTGCTAAAAGTTGCACATTCACAATTAAATAACAATATATATTGTTTGCATTGGACACTGGTATATCCTTTTAGATATGCTTTATTAGCACAGTGGATCTGTTACTCTTCTAATAAACAGGCCAGCTTGTTCAAGCACAAAACTATAATGCTCAGGGAAATTTGAAAGTTACAAAGTAAATACCAGCTTTTTGTGCTTGGAAATATATATTCATATTCTTAAAACTTGGCTATAGTGTGTTTGATATATCTAGATAACATAGATCTTCAAGTCTAATATTGTACATGGAGTTTTGTAAAGCAAGTCTTCTGTTGATTAGCAGATGGGTAGAAGCTTTTACTCTGTAGCACATGAATGCTGTTTTCATCACTTTGAGAAATTCTGGCCTGCCTCAATGAACAGTTTTGTTTACTAGGTGAATAAAATGAGATCAATGCTATCATTAGCATTATTGTACATTGTGAAAGAAGATTTTTGTGTGCATGATTTGGCAAATTTTCGTTGGACATATTTTGCAAGGATGATGTTGAACACTTGACATCAACAGAAAGGTACCTAATACATGTGTATTAGATTTTTATGCTGTGGTTTTTGCCACTTAGTTTCACATCATTATTTCTTTTGTTTGATCTTTAAAATGTGTTTCTGCTCTTCAGAACAAAAACAAATCTGGCCTTTTTGAAAACATTTCCCTACAGGATAACTTGCAAAAATATCTTAAAAGCGTGTCTAATTGTGTCATTTCTTGTAATGGTATGTTTTTGTTTTGTGTTTCCTGAAACTGCAAATTACAAAGCTATAAAATACAACTTGAAAATTCTTTCAGTATTCATAGTTCGAAAATGAAATACTGGTAGGGAGAGTTCTTGGAAAGATAGGTCTGTACAAGAGGTACTTTTTGTTAGAAATAAGTTTGTTCATCTTTGAGAGGTATAAATGTGAAAATGATAGCGCAACTGATATGCCTAAGAATATTTGATAATGATGCTAATACATCTAATTATATATATTTAGCATATATATACTAGTTATCATTTAAGTGAGTAGTTTTTGTCAGTTTGTTGCTGATAACCTCTTCTTTATTGTCAGACATGAGTAATGGAAATGCCGATGCTTGAATCCCAAGTTTGAACGTTCCTTTCCTTAACAGGTTTTAGGACTGATTCAAAATATGAGTGTTTTCCAGTGTCCCAAGTGTAAGCATGAGACGCACATTTTTGGAGCTGATGGTGTAAGAGATCTAGCAAAAACCCTTGGATTGGATATTTTAGGTAAGAATATAGAAGCTGTTTTATTTTTGGGAAAAAAAAAAAAAAAAGCTTGTGTTTATGAGGGAAGCATTAACTGAAGTATGTAACTGTGTAATCCTAGTTTGTCTGAAGTTCATTATGTTATTGATCATAGAACAATTTTTACCAATAATGAATTCTATTTGGTCTTGTAAAACAGACCTAAACTGTTAATGTCAGTTGAAGCTTTTTCATGTATTTCATTGAAATGAAATGAGTCGTTACATATTGTAGTAAACATGGTACTTTGAAACACAGCCCCTTAAAAGCAGTGGGGTTTATGCCCATATGAAGATATCTTGACTCTTGTATGGAAGCAAGCAGACCGTAAGGATTTTATTTAAGTGTTGAGATTAAAAGAATATGCTGAACTGGAAAATGTTGTTTCAAAAGAATATTTATCTTTATTGAAAACAAAAATTAGCCATGATTAAACAATCTGGCATGCCTATAAGCTTAAATACACATTGATCTTTAAAATAAACATTGCTATTTTAAAAAGGCATATTTCAACCTGTGCTGTCAGTAAAAAAATCACATAATGTAACATAGTGTAATTAAGTTGGTAAATGGGATAATTGCATGTGCTAATGATGTGTTTCCATGTATTACTATAATTATCTCAATGATTTTCCATAGCTAATTCATTAACAAGAACCAGGAAGCTCATTTAGGAAGATCAACATAGAAACATCAAGGTCTGACATAAAGTTAAGATAGCAAGGCAACACATAATTAAAGACATGCTTTTGGGCTATCTTTTAGTTTTCTGAATATATAATGAGTTGTGATCAGAGCCCAGGGGGACTTCTGCAGCCCTGGGTTATGTGGATGGATGCAAATCCTCTTCACGCCATCGAATCAAACATGCATTTAGATATACGAGCACAAATGATGTGCCATGCTATTGGTCCATAGATGGTTTTTGTTATTCCCTAAGAGGCCAGAACTGATTGTGATTGCATTTAATTAGGAGTGATGTGAGAGATTTACAGGTTTAGCAGGGGATGGATGAGATGTGTGAAGAAAAATGGGGTGAAGTTTACTTTCAGACTGCTGGTGAAAGACTGGATTAATATTAAGAATAATGCCACAAGGGTTAAATTTAGAATTATGGTACTTGATCTGATTAGTATACTACTCCTTCCAGGGATAGTACCATTATATAGTATGGTATTGTAAGAATTGCGGCGTACAGATTTTACATTATCCCAAGTGGAAGTTTTTTCTCAATGTTATATGAATTCTGCCCAAAACACTAAAGAATTTATTAACAGTATATATATAATAAAATCCTGAATTCTTGTTCTGAACATTTTCAAACACTCTTCAGTGCTAACCATGTAGTCCAAGGCATAGGAATCCAGCACATTTTACAATGTCCAGTGAAAAATGAATTGGATATAGCCCCTACCACGGGAGAGACTCTTAAGGCTATACAGCATGTGAAAACTGGCAAGGCAGCTGGGGTCGCCGGAATCCCACCTGAAATCTGCAATCATGGAGGCCAAGCACTTCATGCTAAATTTCACAAGCTAGTTGTATGCTGTTGGGAACAAGGTAAACTACCATCAGATTTTCATGATGCAATCATCATCACTCTGTATAAGAAAAAAGGTATAAAGTTAGACTGGTCAAGCTACCGACGTATAACTCTGCTCTCCATTGCTGGAAAAAATCCTTGCAAGAATACTATTGAACAGATTAGTATCTGCTATCGCAGAAGAGCTTCTACCTGAAAGCGTGGTTTCAGAGCTAATAGAAGTACCACAGACATGGTATTTGTTCTCAGACAACTGCAAGATAAGTGTAGAGAACAGAATTGACCTCACCAAAGCTTTTGACACTGTGAGCAGCAAAGGCCTGTGGCTGATCTTGGAATGATGAGGTTGTCCTGCCAGGTTCCTCAAAATGATTATTCTGTTACATGAGGATCAGCAAGGGCAAGTCAGATATGGTGATGCACTCTCTGAGCCCTTCCCAAATACCAGTGGTTTGAAACAAGGTTGTATTCTTGCACCAACCTTATTCACAGTCTTCTTCAGCATGATGCTCCAAAGGGCTATGGTAGACCTCGATGAACAAAACAGCATTTATATTTGATATCGTACTGATGGTAGCCTATTCAATCTAAGGTGACTGAAGGCTCACACTAATACCCTAAATCCCCTTGTCCATGAACTGCTTTCTGCTGATGATGCCGCCCTTGTTGCCCACACAAGCAGCTCTGCAGCGCTTAACGTCTCTCTTTGTGGAGGCGGCTGAGCTTTTTGGGCTAGAAGTCAGCTTGAAGAAGACAGTAGTTCTCTACCAGCCTGCACCACAAGAAGATTATCATCATCCCCACATTACCATTGGTGAGTCAGAGCTTAAGTCAGTTCAGCAGTTCAGCTATCTGGGAAGCATCATTTCCTCGGATGCTGTGATCGACAAAGAGATAGACAACAGAATAGCAAAGGCATATAGAGCCTTTGGAAAACTCCATAAAAGAGTCTGGTGCAATAAACACCTGAAGAAAAGTACAAAGATTAGTGTCTATAGAGCCATTGTACTGTCTACTCTTTTTTATGGGTCTGAATCATGGGTCATCTACCGTCATCACCTGCAACTCCTTGAATGCTTTCATCAGCACTGCCTCCACACGATTCTAAACATCCATTGTACTGACTGTGTCAAATGTTACTGTGCTTGAACAGGCAGGGGTCACCAGTATCGAGGCCATATCGCTGAAATCGCAGCTGTGCTGGACAGGGCACGTCTCTAGGCACTAAGGTGTGTGGTTCAGTTGATACGCTGGAGGGAAGGAATAACATCGAGAGGGACCTTGACATGCTTGTGAGGTGGGCTGATGCCAACCTCATGAAGTTTAACCATGCCAAGTGCAAGGTCCTACACCTGGGTCGGAGCAATCCCAGGCACAGCGACAGGTTGGGCAGATAAGAGATTCAGAGCAGCCCTGCGGAGAAGGACTTGGGGGTGCTGGTCAATGAGAAAATGAACATGACCCGGCTTCAGTGTGCGCTTGCAGCCCAGAAAGCCAACCGTATCCTGGGCTGCATCAAAAGGAGCATGACCAGCAGGTCGAAGCAGGTGATCCTGCCCCTTTATTCTGCTCTTGTGAGACCTCACTTAGGGTATTGTGTGCAATTCTGGTGTCCTCAACATAAAAAGGACATGGAACTGTTGGAACAAGTCCAGAGTAGGGCCACGAGGATGATCAGGGGACTGGAGCACCTCCCATATGAAGATTGGCTGAGAAAGCTGGGGCTGTTCAGCCTGGAGAAGAGAAGGCTGCGTGGAGACCTCATAGCAGCCTTCCAGTATCTGAAGGGGGTCTATAGGGATGCTGGGGAGGGACTCTTCATTAGGGACTGTAGTGACAGGACAAGGGGTAATGGGTTAAAACTTAAACAGGGGAAGTTTAGATTGGATGTAAGGAGGAAATTCTTTCCTGTTAGGGTGCTGAGGCACTGGAATAGGTTGTCCAGGGAGGTTGTGAATGCTTCATCCCTGGCAATGTTCAAGGCCAGGTTGGACGAGGCCTTGGTTGATATGGTTTAGAGCGAGGTGTCCCTGCCATGGCAGGGGGGTTGGAACTTGATGATCTTAAGGTCCTTTCCAACCCTAACTATTCTATGATTCTATGATTATATGATCACCGCCTCTCTAAGATTGTGTTTTATGGTGAACTGGCCACCAGTTGCCACAAGAGAAGTGCTCCAAAGAAAAGATATAAGGACTCCCTGAAACAGTACCTCAGCCTTGGCCAAATTGACTACTATCAGTGGCCCACCTTGGCCTCTAGTCGGGAGGCTTGGAGACACACCATACGTAACACCGTTGTGTCCTTTGAGAGCACATGCAGAATTAGTCTCGATGAGACAAGGCAATGTAGAAAGAACTGTGCCTCGCCTATACCACCCAAGGAGACCGTTTGCTGGGCTTTTTGTAACTGGATTTGCCTGTCCCGCATTGGCCGTTTTAGTCATCAGCGTGCTTGTAGTAAGCGTGGGTAAAGCCCTTTGCAAATCTTCGTTCGTGAAGTCAAGCCAGCATCATACTTAAATTATTACTTCTATATTTTTAATTTTCTAAGTTTATTTTGCTTATATTGTGCAGCACTTGTGGCTGTTCTGTTTGTTCAGCTAAGCACCTTGTCCTCTAGAGAGAATAGACAAGGTTTTTCTTTACATGGTAACATCTGACAAATTCTGCAAGCTAACAGTATGCAGGATAGAAAGGTGTTTTCCTTTTATTTGCTCAGAATTGGCTGCCTTTAATATTACTGAATACCTTCTTTGTTTTTTGTTTTGGCAGAAGGCAATTACCAGTTGCCACTGAACCTTTTTACATAGTTCATTGTTTCGTGTACTTTTGATTGTCTTGTCTTTTTATTGTTACATAAAAAAAAGTGTGCCAAAGTTTGTGAGAAAGACTTTGTGCTGCTGATTTTTTCTCTCCCTGTCTCTGAAATACCCTATTTGGCTTTCTTTTTAGTTTGGTGACAGTAGCTGTCACCATAAAGCTATACCATTAATATACATAATACTAAGATAATTTCTGTATACTTACTCCATCGTGACCTTGGCACTTCATAACATTTTAAACTGCATCTGCTAATAGAACCAGCAACAACGACTCCCAGATTTCTAATATTCTTTTAGTTTTTACTCCTTACAATGAATTCAAACTATTCTCGGCACTTACGCTTTTATTGTAGTCAGCAATAATTGTTAGTATCAGAAAAAAGTACAGTGGCAAGTTCCCATCATATTTTGTAGTGAACAGTGCAAAAACTTCTGACTTGCACTTTTGCTCATACAAGTTTTGTTATGTTCCTGTAGTGTCAGTTCTTTTTGTAATTCTCTGAGATTGTTAAGTAAGCTGATAGTGAAGAAGTGTTTTTTCATTATCAAAACATCCTTCAGGGAAGAAGTCAAAATTAGTCGCTGCATGAAATAAAATGGTAGGAACTAACTTCTGGGAGATTTACAAAGTTTCTGTTATTCTATTAAGAATATGTAAGGTTAAAAAAAGAAATAACAAACCAAACCAAAACACACAAAACTCCCCAACAATTTTTAAAGGCCTCCCCCAAATATATTTTGTAATGAATAAGTAAACAGACTTTTATGCTTTATGCCTGAAGAAGTTTATTCATGACTGAAGTAAGAAACAAATTTGAGGGAAATGGACTGTACTCATCATATTACAAGTCCAAGAGAAGTTTTTCAAAGATTCAGCTCACTAATGGAGCTACTGCTTTTGTGTTTGCTATTTGTTTGGGCTTCTGTTTGTATTGCTGCTTGCTTTTGGGGCAGGGTGGGGTGTGTGGTTTTTTTTTTTATCTCTTAAGCTGTTTCAATCTTTCTTTTTTTTTTTTTTTTAATGTTTCTTTTTTTGACCAATATGAACTTTAGTGATTTACACCGGCTTTGGTTTGGGTAAAATAAATGTTGCTAAGTGTATGATTAGACACATGTAGTTTCTGAGACCAGTCAAGTTTGAACTAAGGTAGGTTGTTCTCTCTGTGTCTAAAATGTAGCTCTATTTTCCATTAAAAGAAAAGTTGGTCTTCAGGTCATTTCATAATTACCTATGTAGCAATGAACTAAACGCGGGAATTCCAAGTTTTCTGTAGTGCTAAAAAACTATTTCAGAAAGCATGCTTCAGAGTGGAATAGGGCTGCTAATTGATTCTCCATTAGAGTGTTCCTTTCCTCTCTGACAGTTCACTGCTTGTTATAGAAACAGAATATAAAGAAGACTTCTATTGGAAAGAAGAATAAAGTGAATAGTTTTCTACCTTTTAATTAGATCCAGAGCCTAATAAGGACAATAACAAATGCTATTATTTAAAAATTAAGTATTCAAAAAAGTATTTGAACAGTGATCAGAATCTTAAAACAGCCCTGGGAAAAAAGATACAATGGAGAAGATCGGCTGAACAGTGAGATGCATGTTAAGCATTTACCTGTCATGCAAACAATTTTTTTTTATATGCAAAATAATTTATATGTCAGCCCATGCTTTTCTGTTTATTACATCAAAAAAAGCAAACTGTCTTCTCTAATAAATGACTACAAAGTATGGTACATCCTATTCAGAGAATAAAAAAAAACAGAATATGTTTGGCATTAATCGCAGGTCCTGAAGGAGCTGGTGAATGAAGTTGCTAAGCTGCTGGCCATCATATTTGAAAAATCATGGCAGTCAGGTGAAGTTCCTAACGACTGGAAAAAGGGAAATATAACCCCCATTTTCAAGAAGGGGAATATGGATGACCCGGGGAATTACAGACCAGTCAGTCTCACCTCTGTGCTTGGCAAAATCTTGGAGCAGATTCTCCTGAAAGACATGCTAAGGCACATGAAAAACAGCAAGGTGCTTGGTGACAGCCAGCATGGCTTCACTAAGGGTAAATCCTGCCTGACCAATTTGGTGGCCTTTTATGATGGGGCTACAGAACTGATGGACAGGGGTAGAGCAGTTGATGTCATCTACCTGGATTTGTGTAAAGCGTTCGACACTGTCCCACACGATATCCTTGTCTCTAAATTGGAGACACATCAATTTGATGAATGGATCACTTGGTGGATAAAGAACTGGCTGGATGGCCGCACACAAAGAGTTGCGGTCAATGGCTCAATGTCCAGCTGGAGACCAGTAACGAGTGGTGTCCCTCAGGGATCGGTGTTGAAACTGGTCTTGTTTAACATCTTCGTTGCTGACATGGACAGTGGGATTGAGTGCGCCCTCAGCAAGTTTGCCGATGACACCAAGCTGTGTGGTTCGGTCGATACGCTGGAGGGAAGGAATGCCATCCAGAGGGACCTTGACATGCTTGTGAGGTGGGCTGATGCCAACCTCATGAAGTTTAACCATGCCAAGTGCAAGGTCCTACACCTGGGTTGGAGCAATCCCAGGCACAGCTACAGGTTGGGCAGAGAAGAGATTCAGAGCAGCCCTGCGGAGAAGGACTTGGGGGTGTTGGTCGATGAGAAAATGAACATGAGCCGGCTTCAGTGTGCGCTTGCAGCCCAGAAAGCCAACCGTATCCTGGGCTGCATCAAAAGGAGCATGACCAGCAGGTCGAAGCAGGTGATCCTGCCCCTTTATTCTGCTCTCGTGAGACCTCACTTGGAGTATTGTGTGCAGTTCTGGTGTCCTCAACATAAAAAGGACATGGATCTGTTGGAACAAGTCCAGAGGAGGGCCACGAGGATGATCAGGGGACTGGAGCACCTCCCATATGAAGACAGGCTGAGAAAGTTGTGGCTGTTCAGCCTGGAGAAGAGAAGGCTGCGTGGAGACCTCATAGCAGCCTTCCAGTATCTGAAGGGGGCCTATAGGGATGCTGGGGATGGACTCTTCATTAGGGACTGTAGTGATAGGACAAGGGGTAATGGGTTAAAACTTAAACAGGGGAAGTTTAGATTGGATATAAGGAGGAAATTCTTTCCTGTTAGGGTGGTGAGGCACTGGAATAGGTTGCCCAAGGAGGTTGTGAATGCTCCATCCCTGGCGGTGTTAAAGGCCAGGTTGGACGAAGCCTTAGGTGCTATGGTTTAGAGCGAGGTGTCACTGCCATGGCAGGGGGGTTGGAACTTAATGATCTTAAGGTCCTTTCCAACCCTAACTATTCTATGATTCTATGATTGTGGATGTACAGAAATTGTGCTGCAGCCTATTTTCATTTTAAATGCTAATTTTTTGAGATTAAGTAATTCAAAGAATATACCAAACTGGAATTTGATTTCATGTTGCTTTAAGGTGTATGTTAATGAAACATTTAAGAAATATTAGTATCCACATATGTGTATCTTGGTATTTTTGATACAGGAGACATTCCACTGCATGTTAATATACGGGAGACATGTGATTCAGGACAGCCTGTGGTGATCTCGCAGCCCCAGAGTGATGCTGTAAGTTTGGTGCACTGCACTTAAAACAGCAAAAATCCCTCCTGTAAAAGTGAATTAAGTATGCTGCTTCTGATTGCTGTTTGAAAAGAAACATGTATCTGAATGTAACTTAGGGAAATAAAGTGAAAAAGGGGTAGTATCAGCAGGTAACTCAGGCCCTTCACTTTGGAATGCTGGTCATCCGTTCTGTTTCTTTGAATTTCGTTTTGTTTGATTAGTCTGAATCATTCAGAATAGTGAAGATTTGATCCAGGTTCTGGCATGCCAAGAAAAGGAAGGTCAGTGTCAAATCTCAGGAGACCTTGCAGCTAATGTAGGTCCTCTAAAACTGTCAGTTGGGCCTTTGGTAGTTGAGCCTGGAAACTGTCAAAGGGTCCTCCAAAGATATTTGGAACAAAATCTGTGTATTGTCAGAACCTGGGCTGTTTTCAGCAGGAAGTGGGGCAATTTACACTCAAGAGGAAATGGATTTTTAGGTGCATTTATCTTGGTATTTTATTGCCAAAGGAAAATACGAGTTGTCGAGGCAGTGCAAGTAAAATATGCATGCTCATAGAAAACTTCATTAACATTGGCAGAGTAAGATTTTCCTGGCTAGTATTTTCTTTGTCCTGTGCTGGAGTTTGTCTTCTGGGTTCTATAGGGCAGGGCTTTGTCTGCCCCATTGTGTTTGCACAGTACGTGGTATGATGCAGCTTCACTCTTAACTGCTGCTTAGATGTTACCATTTAAAAAAAATGCTGATAATAGATAATGGAATCAGTTATATATATAGGTAGAATATACTGTAGGTACATTTTAGTATTTATAACCTTTCTAACATCATGATTGCTAGATAAATATTGAAATATTCTTTTCCTTTCAACTGTTTGCTTCTCATTTTAAAGACTGAGAAAATTATTGTTGGTCTCTTATAACTTAAAAGAAAAAATACTTTCTTAGCACATAAGTGATGACGGGAGAGGTCATATAAGGTCAGATTCTAATTGTTAATACTTGACACATGTCACTAATACATGACACCCATTGCCATGTTTCTCAAATCAATTAAAATCCTGGCTACTCATCATGAACAATCACAATTTTTCAGGTAGACAACAATATGCTCAGAGTTGCTGAAATTATCTCTGCTCTTGTCCCTGAAATGTACAGAGGTTTTTTTTTTATAGAAAATTCTGTGCTCTTTTTTGTTGGAACACAATTACAAATCAAATACAGAATCATAGAACTGAAATAATACATAGCAGATCACACACTGGGGAATAAGGATACCGACTGACTTCTGAGAAACCCAGCATGCTGTCACACCTCTCAGCTCTGTCAAGACTAGAATAAAGGGTGTTTCTAAAATATGTTAGCTAATACTTTTTTCTGCTTATACACCTGCCATGGCGTTCAACTTGCCTTGCTGATATATAAAAGTAAACCTCTCACTCTACATTGGAATTTTAAAATATGTAAGCAAACTTGTCTAAATTCATTATTTTAAAGCTGAAATGTAGTTGGTTGCAAAAGGGAGTTTCTTTTTCACAACTGGCAAGGAAATTGTAAGCAACTAAACCTTTCCAAAAAGAAAATTACTTGTAAAATTGTGCATGTGTGACACTTAGAAAGTTCTCCTCAGGGATGCTCAGAATAAATAAGACTCATCTACTTGAGGAAAAGGCTGACTATATAGCTAAAGGTTGTGAAGCTTGATGGCTGGAATTCTCTTCTGTTGAAGCTTGAGACAGTCCACATGGAGAAATAAACATTGCTAGTAAAATGATTTTGCTCTTGGTACAACATTGTCTATATTAATGTTTCTGTCAGTTTTTTAAGTTGTGGCTTTTTCTTAACACTCTTCATTGACAAAATTGTTACATGATATAGAAATAGGATATTGCTGGAGTCACTTATTAGCCTAAATGGCAGGGACTTGACTAACAGAAAGAGAGCAAACACACTGCAGCAAGTGGGAGTGATCTAGGATCCTTTACAAGAAGCTAATAGTTTCTTCGTTTAATCAACAGTGAGGACTTACCAGACCCTTCTGGAGATAATTGAGAGTCTTGAGAGCATTATTCTCCTTCATCAAGCTGCGGAGGTGGATTAGCTGACTAGGGCTTCATTTTTTTGCTCACCCAAACATACAAGAGAATCTCTAGGAGCAAAAGCTAGTAAAGTGAAATCAGGAACACTGCGAAGATCATAGAATAGGGAAAAGAGTAGAGAAAAAGGCAGAATAGGGGAAACAAACAAGTTGCTGAAACTAGGTAGAATTCATCATGCTCAGAAGTAGGAGAATCTCTTAGGGAATCATGATAAGGAAGCAGCAGGAAAATAGATGTTTGAAAGAGGCATCATGAAACTTGTGGATAAGAGGGCTAGAAGCACAGCAAGAGATGTAGAACATGATTAATTGCAGTGGAGTCATTCTTCCACCAAATGAATTTAAATGCCCAGTGGCCTCTTCATTAATACTGGGGAAAAGGTAAGCAGAGGTTCCAAAGGACTCTTCCATTTGTGAGCATAAAACCCAGAGAACTTTGGGACAGTTGGTGGTTATCTTGTGAGGACTTGCTGCTAGAAACTTCTGATGGCACAGAAGTCCATAGTCTTGATGGCACAGTGGATTTGTTAGAAGCCTTGCTAGAACAAATAGGTTATTTGTGAGCATTCAGCACCAAACTTCCATCTCTCTCAAGATAAAGAAGCAGCTCAAGCAAGTACAAAATACTTTTGCTGTACCAGCATGTCCATTCACCTTCTAAAAGCTAGGGAATTTTGTAGGGATACACATTTCAGGTAGGAGATATGCCGGAGGCTGAGGCAAGCAGTAGATGTTGTCTGTCATCTTCTTGAATTGGGAATGGGATTTAAAAAAAATAAAATAAAAAGTTTTTGTGGAGGAGAGATGATACACCTGTGAGGTTCAGCAGGCATAATGTATCCAAGACAGCAGAGAGGTCATGAAAGAATGAAGTTTAGATTTCACCTTCTTCCCCATTATGAAAGGATAGTGAGCCCTCATGGCAGAAAGTATCAAGAGAAAGGAAACAAACCAAAACCAAATTCCATGAAATACGAAATAGTCAATTCCTTAGCGTTTTCTTGCCAAATATTGTTGTGGAAAGCATTTGGAATGTATTAAGGAAAAACATTTTGAGTTCACCCTCTTGTTCAGTAAAAATCAAGTTGGAGAAAAATTGGAGTAATGGTAGCAAATAATGTGTGCTGTTGTTTAGCTGTCATCAGTAATTCCATTTAGAGAGTGGTCTCTCCAGAGTGCGATATCTTTAACAGGAAAGTAAACCCTGAAGAAGGCTGCATGATAGATAATTTATAGTATGCTTTATCATCAAAGTTTCCTTTGAATGATAACAGTAACATTTGGTATTTGTAGGTTCAAATCCTTCATTCAGGTTGTAGATAGTACAATGCATTATCAGACCCTCATTTATGCTGCTTCTGGTGAAGAAAGTGCTGAGTGATAGGATAGTCTGTTTGAAGGATGTTACTATATTGCATTTGATTTGCACTCTTCTGTTCTCTGGGCAGGATGTATTTTTTGATGTATGTAATGGCGCCTGAATGATATAGATGTATAATGGCACCTTGGGCCTAGCAGTGTTTCCGAGCTAAGGCTCCCCTAGATGATGGCATGGCTGTTGCAATTGCTGACATACAGGATTAGTAGGAAATTTCCCATGAACACTAAGGATTGGTTTTGGTTGGTTTTTTGTTTTTTGTTTTCTTTAGGTATTAGATTCAGGAAGTATCCAGTTTACTTACTCATCTCTTCCATTTCATATTGAAATTTATAGATTGACTTTTATTGTCTTGTTAAGTCTCGTGTCTGGGCTGAGACTTCATTGAAGCTTGGCAGGAGTTGCCAATACATGCAAGGAAGAATCTTATAGAACTGCCCTGAGGAGGACAAAGTGGGAAGGACTCGGGGAGTCTTGCAGTAAACAAGAATTTTTCTAGGTGACATGAAGCTTTCATCTGAAGTGGAAGCTCACTTAAAGCTGTGTTTATCTTCATGCTTTTAGCGCCTTCTGAGTTTACCATAGAAAAATGCATTTTTCTGAGGGCAGCTGCGGTCGTGCACTGAAAGTGGGAGTTATGTCAAAGTAACAAGCAATTTCCATGGAAATTAAAGCTATTTAAAAATCTGATTGAGCTGGAAAATGACCTGTGGTTGAGCAAAGAGAGTGCTAATAAGAACAGAAGCTATCACCTATCATTATTCTCATGCAGATGGTAGTTAAGTCTAGTGTTTTTCCTTGTGATAGTTACTGTTTGATTAGTTACTTATGGTTGCTAGTTTCCTTTAGCAATGAATATAAGCCCTTAACAGCTCATTTCAGCAGACCTAAATACCTTATCCTTCTTCACAGGTATATTAACAGCCACAGCATTTGATATTCCAGATAGCTGGGACTTGCATAGATTCTCCCTTGGGCTGCTGGTCTGGATAAAGCATCTTAATAGTCTTGGAGTCTTAGTCACAAACAGAAGTCAGAAACCATGTCAGTACTGGGGTTTACACTCTGTAATGTACTTGGCTCACAACCAAGTGATGTGATCAGTATGCTTTTTCAAAGTTGCTGGTCCAAAGTTCTTTGTATGCAGTGATTTGGGTGAGGGCAAATGTGGTAACAGCTACTTGTTTTGACTTTGGTGATGGGTAAATTTTATTCTGTATTTGCATGGCCATTGCACTAGACACTGAAAGCCACTGTAGTGAGCGGTTTGCCAGCTAAGATGCACTTCAGTGAAAGGCAGACTAGCAGGTCAAGCCAAGCCAATCCATGAGAAGGCAGTCAGCTTTGGTCAGTTTGTAGTAATCTTAGCAGTGATGCATAATTGCCTCATGGGTAAGATTTTTAGGGAGAATGAAATGCCATAACTGAAAGGCTCACATATCTCTAGGATTACCATAGTGCTTAATTCAATGAGCTAATAAAAGACTTGCAGTTTAAATCTATCCCATGCCCATTATTCCAGGACAGTAATGAATGAGGATGTTCCGATTACTTAGGCTAAGTAGGACTTTTCAGTCATTTTCCTGATGAACTTTATTTTAAGTTCTTCATTTCCTACTCCGTGATCTGTGCTGTCATTAGTCACTTGGTCATCTACCATGCTCTCTCAGTCCTGGGATTTAAAGAATGCTGCGTTCTTCTGGCAGTGTTTGTACCAGTGTCTGAGAGGTGAACAGTCACTCACATGGCCATTATCCAGCTGTTTCAACTCTCTGAACATCAGCTTCCACCTCTGCCTCTGCCCTCTGCAGTGCTGCTCTCAGAAGCTATTTAGGCATCACTTGTAATGAACAAGTCTGTTTTTTGGGCATTCTGACTTCCTGTGCCCTTCTCCTTCATCCTCTTGAAGCAGGGAGAATGCTTGGCTTCCAGCTAACTGGTATGTTACAGTTAAATATAAAGTTATCTGCAAAAAACTGTTTTCAGAAAGACAATGTATAAACCATTCATTTAGATCTTCCAGACCACAAAAGGAAAAACTGATCTGTAAAGTTCACTTTTATCCTATGGCTGTGAGTGATAAGAACTCATCCTTTATTTTTTATCCAGTGGCTTTCCACCCAAAAAGAAAATAAAACCCCTTTCTATTTTAAGTTGCAACCCATCTTCTTTCGCTTAGTAATGGTAAACAGCTGACCTGAGCTGTGGTCTGTCTTCAGATGCCACATTGAAGAGATCATGAGTATGAGAAACTATTTAGTACAGTTGTATTTAGTAAAAGGTGTATTGGCAGTCACTGAGATTCCATTTAGACCTTTCATATATGTTGATTGATAGATGGGTCCTCACTCGTAGCTGAATGATTTGTTCAACTATAGGAAACTGAGGCTTGAAACAGTTGGTTTTGTTAGACAGATCACGTTCTGTAAGGACGTTTATGAGATACAGGTCTGTTCAACATATAAAGTAGTGATCTAGAAAAACAAGAAAAGGATGCTTAGCAGGTAAGATGGATTGCCACTAACAGCAGGGCTAAGTAATTCTAGCGTGCTGTCTACAAAGAGTTGTACCAGGAACCTCCTGTTCTGGAGTGAGAAATCAGCCACTTGACAAATGAGAGTCAGTGTACATTGTGCAGTCATTGCCCAGGCACTCATTAACGTTGCCTTTTTTTTGGGGAAAAAATATAGTTTATTGGGATCTTGACACAGGGTAACACACAAGCCATAAGGTTTCCCAATCAGGATGACTGGTTGCTATCTGGCTGTTTATGGAAGTCTGTGTGCAAGTGCTGTCTTTGGCTGGATTGAATGAGACTCCTTGAACTGCTGTTTAGTTCAGTTTTAGCAATACAGCTAGTTCATGGTCCTGTATGACTGCCGGAGAGTATGAATGATCCATTGCTGCTGATTAGCTTGATTTATGTGCAAAATGTCTCCTATCTTAACTGCCTACAAAACCACTCTCCTATATTAGTATTTCTGCATCTACAGGAACAATTTATACAGTGTATTTTTAATTCTTTGTACAATCTGGTCAGCTCTGGAGCAGGAACAGCCCAGCCCATTGCTAGAAGGGTCCAGATTTTCCATGCAAGTTGTTAATTGACTTATTAAAACACAAAAATTGATCTGTGCAAAGTGGGAGCTGTCTGCAGGACTCTTTAAGATAGTCTAAAATTCCCAGCTGGAGCACTCCTACACCAATTAGTCAAATACTTAACTGCATAGGCAGCTTGTCTTCAGTCAATCACCTTATTTCACATTGGTCCGTTATCTCATCTAGGCAGGTGGCTAGCTGGGGAGTAGCTAGATCACCCAGGGAATTAATAGCTAAGCGTGGTGGGTGCTGCACACAGGCACAGCTGTGCTGTCCAACTGCACTGCAGTTATACCCATAGGAGTAGTTTGAATTTCATGCTTGTGATTTAAGTTCTATAGCTCTTGCCACAAAGTCTCACATATGAGAGAAAACAATCCTAGCTTGGAATCTGCATGCCTTACTAACTCAGAAAATTACTTGACTTCATTTTTAAGGTGATGTAAGCGCTGAGACTGTGAGGCACTGAGGCTGGGGGTGCCAGAAAAGAAAACCTTACAAGCCAGGAGTAGACCTTAGAAGAGAAGGAGGCATGTTATAGGGTGCCTGGCCCTGCAAAAGGCTGCCATCTGCTTCAGTGCAGTGGCAGTTGGTGCCAGTGGTCCAAGTGAGAGAGAGACCTTCTCTTCCTGCCCCTCAAGCTCTGGTCTTGGGCATTTGTCAGACTGCTTGCTGTTTAAAGGCTCATCAAGGATACAAGTTCCAACTCTAGGTCAGCGCCATCTAAGATTGCCGCAGGGGACGGGACAGATCAGCGTGGGAGGGAATATTCTGGTGATTTCTTCTAATAAAATGGAAAGTTGTCCATGTGGGCTCCATATGCAGAGTTACTTGGTAAGATGAAGTAGCTTGGTTACAGTTCAACATAGTAGAAGCAAGCTGAGTAATGGGGGAGTTTTCTCTTGTACTAGACAAGCATGGAATGTGATGCACCAGCTGGAAATCGAAACATGACAAGTTCAAATTTAGATAAGGTGTACATTTTTAACAATGGAAGTAATCAACCTTGGAAGAAATGTACAAAATAGGTATGTATGCACACACACAAATATGAAAGAAGACAGTATTTTAGTTGAAAATCTGTGCATCAAGATTGGAGACCTTTCTAAAAAGCATGTTCCATTTTGACTACAAGTTGTTAAGCTTGGTACAGGATTTTTCCCCTTTTATGGTTTGTTTTGTGTTGAACTTTAGGCAGTGTTTTTATACATGTCTCTTGACATTAAAATTGTGAATGCTTGTTGTTAGACTGAACACGGTCCTATCTGTGTCATGTTTTTAGAGATGTTAAAAGAAGTATGTGTATTAGGGTTGCCCCTGACAGTCTTGCAGCTATGTGCTTTTCTGCCCTCCAGATGTTACAGATGGGTGTGAAAGGCAGGATTTGCTATACTGTTGAGGAATTAGTTCTTTCCAGTAACCACTTCAGTCTTTTGGAAAGATGTCTTTTTTTCAAAGTAACTTTTAATGTCTGTATAGGAAATGATGTACTGTGGTCTAGTCTGTAATAAGTTAATTGCATCTCTTTTGAAAACAAAATCATTGTTTTCTCTCATTTTCTATCTCAGTTCTGTGCACAAGTGCATCTCAGTCTTCAGGATGAGGGAAGTTTATAATTAATAGTACCTATGGGAGTAAAGAGTCTCCTTCCTTCTCAACGCTTCCCCTCCAGAAGGCTACTGATTCTGCTTGCTGTTTCAGACAGATTGTTCAGTCAAGTTCTGTTCTCAGAGTAATACCAAAGTTAAGTTTTACAACCCCCTGCCAGTGTTTTAAATAATGCTTGTACTTCTTTTATGTATTAATGCATCGTTTTTCCTGAACACAAAATGGGCTAAATTGAACCCATTTATTGTAACATTTTTGTTGTTTCTTTGAAAGTGTGTAAAAGAACAGATATCTAACGGGATGTAAAATACTCCTTTTTATAGAAAATGAAAGGTGCTAAACATATGTTTCTGTTTTTACAGGCTAAAGCCTATCTAAAGATAGCTATGGAAATAGTAAGACGACTACCAGTACCTCCTGCTTGAAGTGTTTATCACTGAAACTTAGCAAAAAAGCAAAACTTTTGGTGTGACCAGTCTAGAAGAGTCCTGCTACCTAATAATGTGGATGCCATATTTTAGTTCTAAGAACTTTTTTGGGAATTAATTTACCAGAGGTTAAGTTACTGTTGTGGTATTTACTGTTTTTCAAATCATTGTTTGGGCATGTCCAAAAGGATTAAAATATGCAAAAGATGATAGACAGTATTCAACTGCTGGATTGTAACATCATCAAGCAAGACGGGATGGAGTACATTTTTCACATGTGTCCTGTTTTAAAGTCAAGAATGAAAAACAGCTACTCCAGCCAAGCAGAATGATGAGAGGAATGCCAAGACATAATTCCTGCTTAAAAAATGGCATTTGCAATACTTCAATTTTTGTCAAGTTGGGTTCAGCTTTTTACTGGGTTAACTACCAAGGTGCCCTTAAGCTCTGCAAAATTTGAAGAAGCAAATAGTTACGTAACTGCAATACTTCTGTGTGTTCATCTTTGAAGAGAATTAAAAAAAATCCATGTATACTCTGAAGAGGTCTTGTTGTGGATCTTGAGCAGATTCATCCGTTAGCGGATAATGTTCGATCATGAGGCAATTCAAGTTTAGTGGAGAACGGATTACATGACCCTGAGGCTTATTTCTTGGCTGCTTTGCATTATAATGGACCCAGCCAGAAGACTGGTAACCAAGGTCTTCACTGAAAGCCGTGTGTTGTGCCTGAGCTCAGTTTGCTAGGGGATGCAAATGATCACGATAAATTAAATTTATGATTGCATATTCCTGTCATAGTGCAGCAACTTGGAATTTGAATATAAAGATATTTTTGAAGAAAAATGTGGTCTTCAAACTGCATGGCCTCCTGGTTTGGTGTTTTTTTTTTCATTGCCTGATATTTCTTCAATCTTTATTTTTGTGTTAGTGTGTGGAAGTGGAAGAACATGCCTTCAGGGAATGAGTTTCCATTTACAGTTAAATGTTTGAGTTGACATTTAGACTTTTTGATTTACATAATCAAGTATGGGTGTCTTAAGCACACAGCTTAACCGTACCACACTGGGAATTTAACTGTACTAGGGAGTTCTGCTGTTGACCACTGTGGGGTCAAGATTTTCCCTGTAGTACAATTATTTGTTCATCATTTTGGATGTAGTTGCTTTTTCTTATTGAAGCGATACAACATAAAAAGGTAGTATACCTTTATGTTACAAATATTTAAGTAATATTTACCCAAAATTTACATGGGAAAGATGGACATAAATTATGGATTGAATTTCAAGCTTAGGTGATTTTGTAAACATGTAAATTATACAGTCCAAAACTGTTGATTTTTTGCATCAAGTCAGTCTCTGAACCTTCTCCCCTGCAGCCTTCCCATGAGATCTCATATCAATGTTCGGCTTTTTCAGTAGCATCTTATCCCATGCCTGTAGAATTGACGTGGATATTCACTTCCTTTCAGTTATCTGATATCTTTTACAAAACTTAAAGCTGGTTTAGTATTCCGCGCTTTCTACATTTTATTGATAACTTACTGGGGTTTTAATTGTTTTATATCTACACATATTATTTATTCACTTCTGCTTCACATACTGTAATTGTTTATATGTGTATCTAAGTAATTCTGTGGTGGTTTTGGCATAGTATAATGACAAATTTCAGTGGAAAAAACGGGATACCTGCCTGTTTTAGTAAAGACTGTGATACTTTCTGAGCATTGGTTTTTATTATTTTCGTTCTCTTAAGTTTTTGAATTAGTCTCTGACACCCAGATCATGTTCAGGCTGGGTGAACAATGAGTATACAGATATATGGTTGTTTGTTTTCCCTTTCTTTTCTTTCTCATTATTCCTTGGGTTAGTTGAGGGATGAAATTTGCTTTCAAATGTCCTTTTATTTTTACTTCTTTTAACATTATTTTCCTTTTAATTAAGTACTGCAGTTTTGCTCTGCTGAATCTTTCAGCTGCAGAACTGTTTTGAATGCCTTTGTCAGGAAAGTGGTTATAATGATTAAATATTTTTTTTCTAAGCCAGTCTGAGAATTCGTATGTAATTAACGTTGTGGAAGGATTGCACAGTGTAGTTGGTGTATCCTGATTTATTGATTACAAATTGTCAGTAAGTAAAAAACCCCACATAATTGTACAGAATAGATAGGACACTTCAGCATTCAAGGCTAGCAGTGGTCAACCCAAATTTAAAATGAGAACACATTTGCTTTACTTTCCTCATTCTCACGAGTGAAAAATTATGTTTCCCAGCCATCCCCTGCAAAGGAAATGGTCATCGACACAGTATTACTGCTACTTAATGTTGTAGAAATACATTCTTGTTTTTTTTTATTATTATTATTATACAGTACACTACTAAATACATATTAATGAATTCTAGCCAACATACTAGGTTTGAAATCAAATCATAGTTCATAGAATCACTGGTACAAGTTAGTGGATTGGGGTGGTGGTGGTTGGATCAGCTGGAGGTTGAGCAGGAGACAGTGGCATTTAACCATAGTTTATAAATATAGATTATAGACTTGACACACAGTGTTGTTTGCTTTTGTCAACTCCAATATTTTACTTTCATCTCTGTGATATTTCCTCGTGTACTCGTACATTTTTGCTAAAAATGCTAATCCTAACTGTAGGACCTGGCTTTCCTGAGCTCTAGGGGTAGATGCTCTTTGCTCGGGAGCAGTGGAGACTTACTGCAAAATTACTGTGATCATGAGTTACCAGCACAGATTTATTAAAGCCTGCAGCGCTGTAAGCTGCAGATAATGCACTGCAAAATCCCACAGAGGAAGAGAAAGAAGGAGGAGGGCTTGGGAGGCGTGGGGCCAAGCAGGCAGGAGTGGGGACAGAGGCCAGCATCAGTCCCAGCTTGCCTCCTCTGTAGGTTAAGAGCAAGATTCCCAGGATTACCTCACATCACTGTCGGTTATTTTCACTTTCATGACATAGCCCTTTGTTTAGTGAATCCAGTTCTTGTGCTTGCAGACAATTCCTGTTGTTGCTTGGATGAGGAGCATATGGGCCGGGTCTTAACACAGTGCATTTCCTGGCTTTCAGAAGTTTTGGTTTTGGTGAAAATGAAACTGAAGGAGCGTATAGAATTGTTTGCATCTGTGAAGTATGTTGTCATAAAATCTTTATTTCTGTGTTCACGTTGTTCTGAACTGTTCAGCCTTCAATACAATGGTTTATGCAGTCCTTCAGATATTACATTTCTCACAACAACAAAGTTTTTGTTATTTGAAGGTAAGAGAAGAAAATAGTTTGCAAATAGTTTTGCTCTACTAGTTCAAGTTTAAACTACAACTGGTTTTAGTTGCTCTGGTGGTCATGGTGATGAAATAACAATGTAGAGAAATCCAGAAGCAGGTTATCTTCAATATATTATTATTATATTTGGACTAGATGATCTTTTGAGGTCCCTTCCAATCTCTAACCTACTGTGATACTGTGATATTAACAAACCGCTGTAATACTGAACTCGCTTCAAATTAGTTGGACTCGCTTGGATCCAGTGCAGCAGGTGAAGATACGAGAGACATATTTTTCCCTTAGTAACTATATGTTTTTCATCTAGACCTACTCAAACTCCCTGTTGAGTCTTTGCTGCTTGTGATGCAGTTAGTGCTGATTAGGGCAGGCTTTGATCCAAGGCAGGTGCTGCTTACTGGTTTGTTGGTGAACTTTGTTCAGGCTATTATTTGGCCTCCTAATGTAAACCAAAGGCTGCTAGCAATGGGGAAAACAGGGAGTAAAGAAGGGGCGAATCTTATGCCAGTGGGAATATCTCCAGGTTCCCAGAGACCCTGCCATAATAATATTGGGCTTGCAGGTGCAAGAATACACGTGGGAGAATAACAGCAGGAAAGCAACAAGAAAGGAAAACCCTTCTGTTGCTTAGGTGAAAGATTAAAGAGCTGTGAGAGATGCTGCGTGTTACAGAATTGATTTGCAAAGGTGAAGGCATGGAAGATGCTGTGTGACAATATAAAGGGGATTTTGGTGTTTACCTATGCAAAGCTTCTGTCAGAGTATCCCCAACCTCAAGGCTGGCACGTGAGCTCTGTACCCAGGCACCCAAGTGTCAGGCACTGCTCCTGTCCTGCCAGATACCACTGCTGGGGATAGATCTCCACGCTTACTTTTCCACAGAGTTGGTAGTACTTACCCAAGGTGTGAGAAACTTGTTTTACTCCCAGCTTTGGCTGAGAAGATTCAAATCGATAGCTCCTAAACTTAGAAGAAGATCTCAGCCACCCGGCTTAGTCTTTCCATTGAGGAGCATTCATCACTTCTTCTGATAAAGCTGTATCATTTGTGGAAAAAGTAACGAACATAGTCCTAATTGCAGCAAATTATTTGTTAGCCTAATGACTTTGTCTGGACTTTGATCCTTGCTCCCAGCCCCATTGATGAATTTTATCTAAGAAGTCTGAGAACAAAATGATCAGTTCTTAGGACAATGTCTGGCATTTTAGCTGCTTACAGACTTTTGAGGAAAGATTTGGGGGTTCTGCTTTTGCATCCTGTTACATGGATGTCATTTTAGTTTCTCACGGCCATATCTAGGCCTGTATTGTTGTTGCCATTTTTATTTAATAGGCATGCTTCCTGGCAGAGATGGTTAGGGGGAAAGGATCCTGCTTAAGAATGCTTGACAATAAGATGAATCTGAATTGCTGATTTAATTTCAGAATTGACTTACAATAGCAGGAGTTTCAGTGGTGATTCTATTTTGTTTTGGCAGCATATCAGCCAAAGCACTGGTATGTCAGCCACATATCACAAAAACACAGCAAAAGAAAAAATTCATTCCAAAAGTTGTTTTCAGCCTAAATACAAGTCTTATCATTTTTTTGTGGGTTCTGTTTTACATTATGAAGATATTAAGTCTGAAGAAAAGGTATATTTAAAGGTCTGTATTTTTCCATTATCTTCACATATTCTAGGAGGTGGGGTTTTTTTTTTTCCCTGGCAGGAAGAGTACAGGCACCACTTTTCATTCCTTATGCACCTATTCCTGTCAGTTTGTCCATTTGTATGGGTCTGACTGAACACCCACTATAATCAGTGAAAATAAACGGCGTCTCAGGAGTACGTGAGTCTTCGAACAAGCTAGTAGGGGGAAGAACATCTGTTGTCTTTTAACATTGTTTTGAGGGCTTAAAGATTTATTTGAAGTCTTTTCACTCATACCACTGGGATTGTCTGAAACTTGTGTTATTTCCTGTGGTCTAGAGGTTTTTCTCTTTTCTATGAGAGAAAGGCAGGAGACTCCCCACACTCACCTCCCCCATATATGCTTCCTGTTACTAAAGAAGGCCTATTTTAAAAATACAAATTTCTGGTTACTTTTTCTGGGAAGTGTTATCTCATTCATAATGATTTTCTAATGCTGTCCATGAAGACCTTTTCCTTCTTACTTTAAGAGATTAATTTTTTTCCCAAACTTGTATTGAAGAAATACTATAATGTATTTTTAAAGCCCAGTTTGGCTGCATGTTTGGGAGAAATAAACAGGGTGAGAAACAATCTTATTAAGCCAAGCCCATGTTCTGTAGATTTAATGTTGGTGTGTTCATTCATCCAGTGTGTACATGTTGCAGGTATTTTCACATCTCAGTGAGGGAAACTGTTAAAATGAACAAAAGTGCAGGAGCTGAACGTTTTCGTGCTCCCCAGTGGCGTTTTGAGGGTGGTGTGAGATCTGTCCCTAGGCTGGTCAGACAGGCCACGATGAGTTTACATGTTGTATTATCTGCTGAATCAGGAAGTTTCTACATGCCTCTCTTCAGAAGAATTTCCATATAAACAGGCTTTTGTCTGTGATACCT